GGGCCTGGCTCAGTACTCTGGAGGTTTCTGTCGTGCTCACCTGTGTGGCCAGGGCCTGGCTCAGTACTCTGGAGGTTTCTGTCGTGCTCACCTGTTTGGCCAGGGCCTGGCTCAGTACTCTGGAGGTTTCTGTCATGCTCACCTGTGTGGCCAGGGCCTGGCTCAGTACTCTGGAGGTTTCTGAGCAGTAGTAGAAGTCTATCTCCAGCCCCTCCCACTCCTACCTTTCTTTAAAGAGCTTTTGTTCTAGTTGGAGAGACCAAATTTTTATATGGAAATTTTAAGAGAACGACAGCAGACAGAATTTGTCCAAAATGTATGCTGCAACTATGTGATGGAGACACAGACAGGGGAGATGGGAGTATGGAGACAAGGCTTACAAAAGCAGCATTTGGCTCCAGGAGGGGGAGAGGACAAAGCACAGTTGTGAGTTTAGTGTAGCATAGTTATAGTAATTGCATTGTAGTATCCCACATAGAAAGATAAGAGTTGTCTTGGGTCACACCTTAAATATATAAATGTTAACAAAAACTAATGAGTAGGAAAAAAGGTCTGTGCATAATTTTCACGATATTCACCATTATAGATAAGCAAAAAAGTCCTTTCATGATCCACATGTAGTCTTCAGGCCACAGTTTGGACACCCCGGCCAGGGGTGTCTTCGTTAGTATGCATCCCTTTACTTGGGTTGTTCTTAACACTTGCAACAAATGTAGAACCAGTGTTAGCCCATTTCACAGATGAAGAAACTGAGTCTGAGAGAGGGTAAATGACTTTCCAAGACCTCCTGCCAGAGGGTGTGGCACTGGGGTGAGAATAAGAAAGGTCACTATGTTCAGTACCTCTTATTTGTCAGATATTCTCCCTTTTGGTGCTGAAAGCAGATCGAGGAACCACAGGGAAGCTGAGCTGTTTGTGTCTCTGAGATACCCAGGAGCCCTTGTGGTCCTGTACCCAGCGGTATGAAAATCTAGGGCTGGCTAAAAGGGGTCTGGAGTTGAGAAGAGGAAAGCGGGCCTGACTTTCATCTGTAGAAGACAGCGTTCTTGTGTGAGCAGCAGCAGCCTTGTTCTCTCTCCTACAGATTCAAAAACCATCTTTGAATATTCCAGATTACACATTGCAGAACTTCTTGTAGGGGCAAAGGTGATATGGAATTTCTAGGGTGAATTGTCCTAAATCATCTTTGGGCAAGTAGCACGTATCTCCTAAGGATGTGACAGAGTTATTTTTCTGACTGAAATACAAATGTCAGGAAGCCCCCAGCCAGGCATTGGCGTTTACTCTGACCTGCAGTTGTTCTGAATCACTGGTACTGGACCATGCCCTTTCCCTGCCCTGGACCCTCTGGGCTAGAAGGTCACCTTCCTCAGCCTCATTCCCATTGCTCCTGAAGGCATGGCTACACTAGGACTTGGCTTTCCCGAGGAAGCTGGTGGACTGGTCACTTCCAGAAAACCAGGCCTCTCTCTCCTGCTTGCCTGTGTTTCCTTGCCTGACTCCAGCACTGGCCTTTTGAACTCATTCTGACTTTCTGTGTATCTCCAGGGCCTGGCTTTAAGATGAGAGATGAACAGTCAGTGATGAGCAGCTTAGCACACACACCTGTTTGTGTCATTTTAGATGTGTTCTCCTCTCCTGTATTATGTAAACTTTGGGCTTAGTAGGTAGAGAAACCTGGATTCCAAGCCTGGCCCTACTATTTTCTAGCTAGATGTCCTTAGACAAATTACTGTAACACTATTCATCCTTAGTTTTCTCATCTATAAGATGGGGAACCTGAGATCTATCATGTAAGGTGGTTGTCAGCTTAGTTTTTAGAAAGCATTTAGC